GATGGATAAAGAAAAGGTAATATATTCAATGGAATTTCATTCAGCCTTAAAAAAAAAGAAAATTCTTCAATATGCAATAACATGGATGAACCTTGAGCACAGTATGCTAAGTGAAATAAGTCAGTCACAGAAAGACAAACACTGCAGGATTCTACTTATATGAGGTATCTAATACAGTCAAATTCATAGAATCAAAGCGTGACAGGGTAGTTGCCAGAGGCTGAGGGGAGGGGGGGCAGTTACTAATCAATGGGCATAAAATTTCAGTTAAACCAGATGAACAAATTCTAGAGATCTGCTATACAACATTGTACCTAGAGTCAACAATACAGTGCGATACACTTAAAAATTTGTTGAGAGGGTAAGTCTCATGTTAGTTGTTCTTACAATAATAAAATTTTTAAAAATTAAGTGAATAAAATATTTCACTCCCACTCTGGCTTTAAGGTTTTATTTAAAAACATTTAAAACTTCCTAGGGAGGGTTCCTATTGTGTAGACAGGATTGAGAAACTGGGGAGTGGCTCATTTCCAGGTAGCAAGAGGAGAATTGAGCTACTGATTTTACCTGCTCTGTGCGAAAGGTTTGGTTACAGAGGCTTCCACATGATACTGTTTCTTTCATTAGCTATGAGGTTCTCAAAATGGTCAGAGGACTGGTAGCATCAGCATCTGGGAACTAGTTGGAGATGCAAATTTTCAGCCCCCACACTAGACCTACTAAAACAAAAACCCTGGAGATGGAGCACAGAACCCTGTGTTTTAAAAAGTCTTTCAGTTGCTCTAATGTATCTTAAAGTTTGAGAACCATCATTTTCAGTAAAGCCTTTGGCTAACAGATATTTGGAGGTCAACATTTAAAGCTGTCTTCATTCATCACCCAGTTAGAGTTCAGTTAGATAGAAAGTACTTGATCATTCAATCAGATATACATCTTATCTGGATGAAGAAACAGCTTCATCACCAGAATAAAGTAGTTGACTTAGATGACATTTTATTTTTTTAAAAAGATTTATTTATTTATTTTAGAGGGAGAGAGAGAGCCAGCATGAGTAGGGGGAGAGGAGGAGGAAGAGGGAGAGTGAATCTCAAGCAGACTCCTTGCTAAGTGAGGAACCAGATGCAGGGCTCGATCCCAGACCCTGAGATCATGACCTGAGCTAAAATCTAGAGTCCAGTGTTTAACCGACTGAGCCACCCAGGCACTCCTGACATTTTATTATTATAAGAGCCTTCCAAGAGTAATAAATGATATGGCATAAAGGTTCACATCCAAAAGTTAATACTCTTTCAAAGAGTATGATCTGAATATTTCTATTCCTTTGTTATTACAATCCCTGAAGCAAAGTGGTTTCTCCCCAAATTTTGAATATATTTACATAACAAATAACTTCTTTGGTGGTCAAAATTAGACTCAGAGTAATAGATTCCCAAGTTGTTTCTTTTCCCATCTGAAGAACAAAATTGGTGTTAAGGCAAGAAAACCTATTTTCTACTCTTCTGATGAGTTAAGTCCTCTAAGAGTTGTAAGGATAATTGGAGTTCTCGTCTCACAGCTTGACTCTCTCCCAACCATTTTATTTATTTAAGGAAAGTGTCGTTTATGTTCTCTCTCTGGTCTGGAAGTTTCTAGTATTCTTTCATTGTCAGGCTCACATTTGGTTTACTTTTTGACATACACATTTTTTCTACCATGTGTCTGCTCTCGGCTTTGAATCCCCACACAGTGCATGACACCTTCCATTTTCTATTGCATGTTTCTTTTTGGTAAACTATGCCTCTTTCACTGTGGCACATCATGAGTCTCAGCCCATCAAGTTTCAGTAATATCTCTCTGTTCATGTGAACTTGCTTGAATTAAAATTGAGAGAGAAATTTTAGCCTGGGATTTTGAATATTCAGATATAATCTTCTGGGTCTAAATTCTAAAGAGTTAACTACCAATTAAAATTCTCTTTCTGCATAGGGAATAAAGTCAATGATACTGGAATGGCATTGTATGGTGACAGATGGTAGCTACAGTTGCCATGAGCATAGTATAACATATAGAAATGTTGAATCACTATGTTGTACACCTGGAAGTAGTGTAACATTGTGTGTCAACTATACTAAAAAAATTTTTTTTTAAATTCTCTTTCTGTTCATGGAATCACAGAAATGCAGGACTAGAAGGAATTTTAGGCTTGCATAGTTCTGGAAACTGTTTTATGGTTTTTCTTTTCATGTAACAATCATTATTTTACCTAGTAATTACTGAGAAATTTTACACCTGTTATTTTTATCTTTGCCTTTCAAACTATAGTTTAAATACTTTTCCGTCTAGCTGCTAATTATCCTATCATGAGTACATTGTTGGTGATATAGTATGGAATCTGAAAACCCTCAGCTGTGTTTATCAATGCAAACAGTGCAGGCCTGTGTTCTCTTTCTATATCTACTCTTATTTTCCAGAATCTTGACTCTGAAGTAGAATAATACTATTACTATATTTCCATGTCTTTTTAGGTTTTGCTTTGGAAGCAATTTTGTTTTTTTAAAGCAGTGGTTCTCAAACTTTAGTGGTGCATCAGAATAACCTGGAGGGCATGTTGAAACATAGATTGCTGCCTACCCCCAGAGTTTGTGATTCAGTGGGTTCATACGTGGGCTCAAGAAACTGCATTTCTAACAAATTCCCAGCTGATGCTGTGGGTGCTGTGACCACATTTTGAGTACCACTATTAAGGTGCTCTGCCTTCACGAGATGAAAAACCAATAGTCTTAGCATATCAAAATTTCCCTCGAATCCACCTACTATTCACCGTATCCATTTTCCACCTCTGACCATTTTTCCCTATAGTAGTCAGAGTAATTATCTTAAAATAGGAAGTAGCCTGTATAGGATTTTTTAACTTGGTTGCTCCTCTGCCCAAAGCTCTTCAGCATCTTTCTGTTGCTGTCCAGGTAAAATCCGCCTCTCTTCCATCCCCCAACATCATTATAAGGCTTAGCATGATCTACCAGCCTTTCCAGCCTCATCTCAAGGCTCACTTTCCTTTCTTTTTTTTTTTTTTTTTTAAAGATTTTATTTATTTGAGGGAGAGAATAAGAGAGAGAGAGAGAGAGAGCATGAGAGGGAGGAGGGTCAGAGGGAGAAGCAGACTCCCCGCTGAGCAGGGAGCCCGACGCGGGACTCGATCCCGGGACTCCAGAAGGCTCACTTTCCTTTCTGGTCCTCTTTCATGGAGTTCTTCCCCATCTCAGGCTTTGTACATCTGCTCAATCACCAGGAATGCTCTTGCTTTGATTCTGACGTTGCTAACTCCTGCTCTTTATTTAGGTCCCAGCATAAAAGTCACCTTCTCAGAGAGGTTTTCTCTGACCTCTACTCTATCAGGACTCCCCATTCTACTTCTGGGGTAAGTAACTCTCCCGGTTTGCCAGAACCGAGTTGTTTCTTAGGAAGTGAGACTTCCAGTGCTAAAACCAGGATAGCCCCAAGCAAACTGGGAAGTTTGGTCATGCTACCTGCTCCCCAGTTGCAAATTTTACTTTTTCTTTACAACTCCTACATAAGTTATAATTGTATATTTAGTTGTGTGATATTTTTTTAAGTGCCTACCATCCTTATTAGATTATAACTCCATAAGGGAATAGGTGATATGTTTCTTAATCTTTTTGTCTCCAGTGTCTAGCACTACACTTAGCTACACTTACAAAGTACCTGCTCAGTAATTGCTGCTTTTGAAAGAGACACTTGTCTTATTGGTTACTCTGTTACAAAGGGATAGAAAATGCTGACATGTGTTATACAACAACCTATATCCTTTTGTCTCACTTATAAAACATCTCACCAGAACATTTTGAAAATAATGTACTTTCTTCCCTTGGTCGCTAGACATTGCTAATGTGTTTTCGTTGACTACAGCCCATCAATTCCACATATGTATATGGATTATGGATCTTCTCAGCTAAGAGGGGGCAGCTAAAGAAACATCTATGTCACCAACCTAAGAAATTGGTACACACAGAACTTTTTAAACTAATAACAGCTAATAGTAACTAATACTGAGTTTTAGATAAATGCCAAGCTCTGGGTTAAGCACTGTGTATATATTATCTCTTTAAAAATGTGTATGTTATGATAGAAATACTTTTTTACTATCCTCATTTTCCCTGTGGACACAGGGAGAATAAGCATTATACCCGAAGTCGTATGTATATTAAGTGGTTGAGTCAGGGTTCTAACTTAGTTCTGTCTGACTCAAACAAGCCCAGGATTTTATCTGTTCCTTTGACAAAAAATGATAGGATTGATTTTTTTTTTCTAGAGAGGGAGGTGAGGGACAAAGGGAGGGGGAGAGAGGGAATCTTAAGCGGGCTCCATGCCCAACACAGAGCCTGACTTGATCTCACAACCCTGAGATCACAACCTGAACCAAAATAAAGAGTTGGGACACTTAACTGACTAAACTACTCAGGCACCCCGGATTGATTTTTTTTTTAATTGAAGTACAATTGACATACAATAGTATATTAGTTTCAGGTATATATTAATTTCAGGTGAATCACATAGTGATTCAACGTTTATATACCTTACAAAATGCTCACCACAAAAAGTGTAGTTAACATGTGTCTCCTTACAAAGTTATACTATTATTGACTATATTCCCTATGGATTGACTCTTCTCAATAGGGATTTGCTTGCTTGGATTAAAGAATCATCTTGTCTAGGCAATCTGTCTTTTGTAAATTAACTGAATGATACCTATTCAATTACAGAAGTGAATTATATATACACATATATTTAAATCATATGTTCTATATGCATGTTACATATATTATCATGTGCACAATAATATATATCATATATATTTGTTAGTGTTTTGCTAGTACATAAAAGCTAACATTTATCTAATGCTTACTGTGAGCCAAATTCTAAATTAAGTATTGTTAAAAGAGATGTTATCTCATTTAAACATCATACCTTATGAAGTAGATAGTGATATTTTCCACTTTTTAAAAAATATGGAATGCTTCATCAATTTATGTGTCATCCTTATGCAGGGACCTTGCTAGTCTTTTCTGGGTTGTTCCAATTTTAGTACATCTGCTGCTGAAATGAGCACAATATTTTCCAATTATTATAGGTGACAGAACTGAGGTGCAAACAGAAGATAGGGACACTTTTCCCGAGGTCATATAGTTTATAAATGATGGAGCTAGGATTGGAATATAAGACCATTTGATTCTTTTTTTTTAAATCTTTTAAAATTTACTATTATGTTCAATTAGCCAGCATATAGTACATCATTAGTTTTTAATGTAGTGTTCAATGATTCATTAGTTGTGTATAAGACCCAGTGCTCATCACCATACATGCCCTCCTTAATACCCATCACCTGGTTACCCATCCCCCCACCCCCTTGCTTCTGTAACCCTCAGTTTGGTTCCCAGAGTCCAGAGTCTCTCATGGTTTGTCTCCCTGTCTGATTTCTTCCCATTCAGTTTCCCCTCCCTTCCCTGTGGTCCTCCACGCTATTCCTTATGTTGCACATGAGTGAAACCATATGATAATTGTCTTTCTCTGCTTGACTTATTTCACTTAGCATAATCCCCTCCAGTTCCATCCATGTTGATGCAAATGGTA